ATATATATATATATATATATATATATATATAATATATATATATATATATATATATATATATATATATATATATATATATATATATATATATATATATATATATATATTATATATATATATATATATATATATATATATATATATATATATATATATATATGTATATATATATATATATATATATATATATATATATATATATATATATATATATGTAAATGCCAAGATCTTTTCATTTCATAAAGATTTACTAATTTTGAGGATACAAGCAAACAAATTAAGAACCATTAATAAACAATTTATTAACACAAATGTAATTCACAAAAAATATATAATTTCAATGTCCATTCAGTTCAAAAATAAATAGAAAAAAAAATCACATTCCTTTTCATTTGGGTTAACTGTGTTCACAGTCCAGCAAAGTCCACGGAATCTTGATTTATTGTAGTGGTCACTGAACTTGAACATTCTTCCAAGATGATAAATAATAATTAAAAATGAAGCCTCCGTGCCTGGCCCTTGGCAACAGTAGGTTCTGCAGCCTGTCAAAGAATATATATATGCACTGCATAAACCAAATCTCGAACATAAAAATAATATCCAATAAAGAAATACGGGGAAAGCACCTCACCTCACGGCAGTGGTCGGGTCGAGTGAGGACCCCTTGTACCCACAACCCCACACCAAGGTTCCCGAGCGAACCCGGATTCGACTACAGGATTCGCACGAAGCATTTCGCTCGCCACGTATACAGGCGAAAACAAATTAAGAAAAACAAATAGCCGAATTTCTTCACACGGCTCCCCAACAAGTATCTATCCAATAGATATACAAACCAATGAGGAATAGAAACTAAACCAGCTTTCCACTTTAGTTAGTAACCAGACACAATCATAACAGTTGGACCTCTAAAATAATCGTTTCTTCTAAAGAAAGGGACCTTGCAGGGAGAAGGCAGGGAGAAGTTAAATCAAACCTAGCTGGGAGAAGCTATAAAATGTAAACAAAGAGAAAGCACGCTCTCAGTTTTTATTCGTCCTCCAAAATAACTGGTTCACTTCATAATGAGAAGTGAGTATGTGTGTTGAAATCATAAAGAAAACAATCGTCAATATTGTATTACTAAATACAAATCAAATCTGGTTGGTTACTTTAACTTAATCAGTGAATTTTCTACATTTCAGCGAGTGGAACTGTAGTGTAACTCAAAGTACGTGGTGTACACATCAAAGTGAAATAACTTCAAAACTGCTGATACTACGAACATGAAATCATTTATTAAAAAAAACATAAGACTGAAAATACTATCAAATTAACTGTGTGAAACGTGGTAAATTAGAAATTAGTGATTTCTTTCAACAAAACTATATGAAAATGAGAGTTCCAGACTTCAAGTGTAATTAATTTCCGGAACGACTAAGGAGATCCGCTCCAAGATTATCACGCCCTGCAACGTGAACCAAACGGAAGCGATAAGGTTGCAAGCTTAACGACCACCGTAAAAGTCTGTTATTCGACCCCTTGAATTTATTGATATAAATTAATGGCTTGTGATCCACTTCCAGGATAAATTCTTGACCCATTAGGTAATATCTAAATCGGTGGATACCGAACATTATAGCCAAGCCTTCTTTCTCAATAGTTGAGTACCTCTTCTCTCTATCTAATAGTTTCCGACTAGCGTACGCCACAGGAAATGGATGACCATCGACGTACTGTAGAAGAACAGCTCCAAGCCCAACATCTGATGAATCTGTTCGTAAGACAAAAGGATGGGAAGAATCAGGTAACTTTAATACGGGTTTGAAGCTAATGCAGCTTTTAACTGTTCAAATACTTTAGTCAATTCGTCCGTCCATTTCAGTGGTTCCCTGACATTTTTACGCAACAAATCAGATAAAGAGCTTGTCAGTGAAGCTGCTTGTGGAATAAACATTCTATAGAATGAAATCAAACCAAGGAAAGATCTTAAGGTCTTCTTTGTGCAAGGAGGAGGTAGATTAAGTATAGCTTCTATTTTATCGAGTTTAGGATGCAAGTAGTTTCCATCAAGAATAAAACCCAAGTACTCAATAGACTTAAAGCCAAATCTGCATTTTGATGGCTTTGCAGTGAGGTTATGTTCACGTAATCTCTTTAACACTGAAACAATTGCATCTTTATGTTCATCCCATGTTTTAGTATGGATGAAAATATTGTCAAAATAGAAGGAAACATTCTTTAAACCAGCCAAAACAATGCGCATAAGGCGGATATAAGTGGCACAAGCATTTACCAATCCGAAAGGCATACGACAAAACTCCATAAGACCCTTGTGTGAAGGAAATGCTGTTAAAGGTCTGGCCTTCTCAGAAAGTTTAACTTGATAGTAGGCCTTCGTGAGATCTAATTCAGAGAAGTAATTACATCCTGAAAACTTGTACAAGTCTTCCTCCATAGTGCAAGCTGGTTCAGCATGAAAATTAGTTACGGAGTTAACAGCTCGATAATCTATGGCCATACGATAGCTACCATCAGACTTTTTTACCATGACTACAGGAGATGAATGGGGAGATGATGATAGCTGTATAATCCCTTGTTCAAGCAATTGGTCAACTTCATCTTCGAAGTGAGGCTTTAGATGTATAGGAATGGGATAAACCTTAGACTTTATACGCTCTGTGGTGTTAACTTCAATATCATGTTCAAGGGTGTTTGTGCAACCTGGAGTTAATGAAAATACATCTACAAACTCTGCAATTACTGAATCAATATCAGATTTCTGTTCTGCTGAAAGGTCAGAACAAATCTCAGGTTGATCACTCTCAGGCAAGATGGGCTCTCTCCATCAGAAGTTAGAGGAAAATTGCTATCGCTCAATTCAGTATCTTCAAGAATACAATTCTGGACTATTTTGTGGGTTCATTTCAGCATCTATCTTACTTTCCTCGTCCATAACATTAGGTTGGGAACTTGTTGCTCTCCTATGATACTTCTTAAGAAGGTTAGCATGAAGCAACTTCTGTTTTCCACCTTCATCGATAAGATAATTCACCTTATTTCGACATTCCAGAACAGTATAAGGGCCACTCCAAGACATGAGCAACTTGTTTTGGTTATCAGGGAGGAGCACAAGAACTTCCTCACCTGGACTAAACTTCCTATCCTGAGATTTCAAGTCAAAATAAGATTTGAATTTAGAGGAACTAATCTCAGCATTTTGAGCTGCAATTTTAGCACACTCCTCCAGCTTGTCTTTCAATTCAATCACATATTGAAAGGAAGATCTAACATCATCTCTCATGGTTGTGTCTTCCCACAAGTCCTTAAGACTGAAAGAGGTCCCCCGGACTGTCCGTCCATAAAGTAGCTCAAAAGCAGAAAACCCAGTTCGATCGCTAGGAATCTCTCGCATAGCGAATAATGTGGGGACAAGATAACGTGCCATTCTCGTGGTTTGTCACTACACAATTTCCTTAAGGAGGCTTTTAGTGTTGCATGAAACCTTTCCACCCTTCCATTCCCACTAGGATGATAGGGAGTTGTAAAAAGTGGCTTTACACCCAATAATTTATGCAGTTCGCCCATTAGTTGAGAACAAATTGCCTTCCTCGATCAGACAAAATTTCCCGAGGAATACCGACCCTTGAAAAGATCACCATAAGGGCTTCAGCTACAGATATTGAATCTATCTCTTTGAGAGGCAATGCTTCTGGAAACCCAGTCGCAAAATCTATCAAAGTTAAAATATAACGGTGACCCTCAGAAGATGGAGGAGAAATCGGTCCTACCAAGTCTATGGAGACACGAGAGAAAGGCTCCGTTAAAATGGGCATGGGTTTTAATGGCACTGTCTTACCCTACCTCTACTTGACATCCTTTGACACTTGTCGCAAGACTTACAAAAGTCTCGGATTTCAGCTCCCATGTTTGGCCAATAGAAATGGTCCTAATACGCATTTCTGATTTCCGATGGGAGAAATGACCGGCTAAGGGGCTCTCATGACCTACTGCGAGAATGATGGCTCTACATTTACTGGGTACTACCAGAGAAGATTTACCAACTCTTTCACAGTGCTTTGAAGCAACACATGTACGGTACAGCAAACCATTTATTTGCTCAAACTTAAACACCGTACCATCACGCATCTTATCATGTTCTTCAGACTTTACTTTTTCCCAAAATTTAGTGAGAGAATGACATTCTGCCTGCAATTTTGCAAAGTCTTCAGGAGTTACTTTAAGAGGCTCGATCTCCGGCAACACTAAAGGGTGAACCCTTTTTACTTTGGAGGATCTAGTCTGAATGGCACAGGAATAATCAAGAGGGACATTTGAACGTTCAGTTACTCAGAATCTGGAGATAATTTGGGACTATATACCCCTGGTACATTTCCAATCAGGACGCTACAGAATTTAATTGGTGCTCGCACCACATCAATCCAACCTTTAAAATAGGGACAATTCAGGTAGCATTTAGTTTTGGGGAAGTAATCCACCCGGCCTAAATAATCTTCGATCCCCACCAGATCAGCCCTAGAGAGATCAACATCTGGTAACACCTTGTGAGATACAATAACACATGTGCACCCCGTATCTCTGAGAACTGTGGATACCCAAGCCCCATTCACTGTACCAGCTGTCATGAACTTTGAATTTTCCCTGTCACTTAGACAAAATCCGACTTTGTGAGTTGGAATTGGGTGATATTGCTTGTACGCTAGGGGATTTTTAGGACAGCGAGATCTAATATGTCCAATATCACCACACCCATGACATTTAACAGAAGAAAAATCCCTTCTAAGAGCTGATTGGACTGGAGTTTGGGGCTTTGGAGCCACACTTCTCTTACCTTGTTCAGATGATTGATATGACCTGGGGTAAGCACTATGAGCAGATGACCAATTATCTGACAGGCTTACCGCATCAGCTAAGGAGGAGACGTTATGCTCCTTTACAAAAACACGCAGATCTGGGGAGATAGAAGACATTAGTTGATCTAACAACATAAAATCACGAAG